TTGGCCCCCAGATTCGGTTGGTTTTGGGCTTCCGAACTGGGAGGGCCCCGGCTACCCGAGGCCTTATCCATATCTTCGCTACGTGGTGTGGTGGTAGTGGTTGTGTCATGATCGGTGTTGATGTTATCCTGTCGGGTTTGGAGATTTGAGTCCTCGTCCTGGTTGACAGTTTTGTTCCCACTTGTAGTGGTTTGGGGTGTCATCGCAGTGGCAGATGTTTGAGTTGGTTAACTGGTCGTGGACGAGGATTGTCTTGGTCGTGGGGAGTCATTGCGTAAGTGGGGGAGCGTCTGCCATTTCATCCGATGAGACGTCGAGTTCGTGGGCTAGTGAATTGGTTCCGCTAGTGTCAGTGTCCATGTCGATGTTGTCTTCGGAGTCGGGGATCGACACCTAGGGGATTGCTAGGGGATTCTTATCGATGGTGCTTGTTTGTCGTGCCTTTGGTGGATTTGGTGTGTAGGCCGTGTTTTTTCAACTCTCGGAGAGCGAGGTTCTTTGTTCTTTGAGGGATTTGTGATTGGCGGTTTGTTCCAGCCTCTGGAGTGAACCTTCCTCGTCTGTACCTGACGTTATCTCATTCAGCCCGATGACGCGTTTGCATATACTTACCTTATCAATCAGGCTAAGGCCTTGTTGTCCTCAGCTGTCCGAAGAAGTCGTCTCCATTCTACTCGATCCATGGCCACAGTTCGCCAGCCTCGTAGTCTGCGAAGGGTCCGCAGGTCACCTTCTACTTGGTCGATCCACCTTGCCCGCTGTGCGCCTCTTCTTCTTGTTCCTGTTGGGTCGCTTTCTAGAACCATTTTCACTGGGTCATCGTGCGGCATTCTTACGACGTGCCCAGCCCACCGTAGTCGCCCAATTTTTGCAATGTGGACGATGGATGGTTCTCCCAGCAGCTGGTGCAATTCGTGGTTCATTCGCCTCCTCCACGTTCCGTCATCCATCTGCACTCCACCGTAGATGGTACGCAACACCTTCCGTTCGAAAACACCAAGGGCGCGTTGGTCCTCCACGAGCATAGTCCAGGTCTCGTGGCCGTAAAGGACCACCGCTCTAATCAGCGTCTTGTAGACAGTCAACTTCGTGCGGCGGCGAATGTTATTCGACCGGAGCGTCCTCCGGAGTCCAAAGTAGGCACGATTCCCTGCCATAATGCGTCTTTGAATTTCGCTGCTGGTATCATTTTCGGCGGTCACCAGTGAGCCCAAATACACGAACTCATCGACCACCTCGATTTCGTCACCGTCAATCTGAACTCGGGGTGGGAGGCTAACATTGTCTTCCCTAGAACCTCTTGCTTTCATGTATTTTGTCTTTGATGCGTTGATGGCAAGTCCAATCCGTCTAGCTTCAGCCTTCAGTTTGATGTACGTTTCCGCCATCATCTCAAAGTTCCGTGCCATAATGTCAATGTCATCGGCGAAACCAAGGAGCTGGATGGACTTCCTGAATATCGTGCCACTCGTGTCTATCCCAGCTCTTCTGATCACACCTTCTAACGCGATGTTGAACAGCAGACACGAAAGTCCACCACCCTGCCGTAACCCCCTTCGAGATTCAAAGGGACTCGAGAGTGTCCCCGATACTCGAACAACGCACATCACTCGATCCATCGTCGCCTTGACCAATCGCATCAGTTTATCCGGAAGTCCGTACTCGTGCATAATCTGCCATAGCTGATCTCGATCGATTGTGTCGTATGCGGATATGAAATCGATGAACAAATGATGTGTGGGCACGTTGTATTCGCGGCATTTCTGCAGAACCTGCCGAATCGCGAAAATTTGGTCCGTGGTAGCGCGGGCACCCATGAATCCCGCCTGGTATTGCCCCACGAACTCTCTTGCATATGGTGGCAGACGGCGGCATAGAATTTGGGAGAGTACCTTGTAGGCGGCGCTCAGCAGTGTGATCGCGCGGTAGTTGCAGCAATCCAACTTGTCGCCCTTTTTGTAGATTGGGCATACGACACCTTCCATCCACTCATCCGGTAATATCTCCTCCTCCCAAATCTTGGCAATTACCCAGTGCAGCGCTCTAGCCAGTGCTTCACCACCGTATTTCAATAGCTCACTTAGTAGTTGATCTACACCAGTTGCTTTGTTGTTCTTCAGCCGACCGATCTCCTCCTCAACTTCTTGAAGATCAGGGGCCGGTAGCCTGTCGTCTTCTGCGCGTGCTCCAAGGTCTGTTGCCGTGCCACCTTCGTTTTCTGCTGCTTCACCGTTGAGGTGCTCGTCATAGTACTGCTTCCACCTCTCAATCACCTCACACTCGTTCGTGAGAAGGTTACCGTCCAAGTCCTTGCACATATCGGCTTGCGGCACGTAGCCTTTGCGCGAACTATTTAGCTTCTCGTAGAACTTCCGTGTGTCGTTTACGCGGTACAGATTTTCCATCGCCTCGCGATCTCTGTCTTCCTGCTGACGCTTCTTCCTTCGGAAAACCGAGTTTTGTCTGTTCCGCGCTTGTCTGTATCGCTCCACATTCAATCTCGTGCGGTGTTGCAGCATTCTCGCCCGTGCTGCATTCTTCTCCTCTACTAACAGTTTGCATTCGCCGTCAAACCAGTCATTTCTTCGGTCCGGGATTGCAGTACCTAGTGCCGCTGCAGCAGTACTACCTATGGCTGAACGGATGTCCCTCCAGCCATCTTCAAGAGAAGCTGCGCCAAGCTGCTCTTCCGTGGGTAGTGCAACTTCCAGCTGCTGCGCGTAGTCCTGGGCAATTCCGGCGTCCCGTAGTTGCTCAATGTTGGGTCGCGGCGTTCGACTTCGACGTGTGTTATGCACCGTCGAGGGTTTTGAGCGCATGCATACTGCAACAGAGCCCTCCACACTGCAGCCAACCTTGACCTCCCCCCGGTGGCCAGGGTCCACTGGCATGGAGAGAAAAGTTGGCGATCTAACGTTATCAAAATAGATAAGTGGATTAAGAGAGGATTCCAAGCCGGAGATAACTCTGTAGCGTTGAGGCGTTCAGTTGCATAACTTCTTGGGTCGGTCTATCCGGCGAACATTCATCGCTTTACGGACGGATCGCGATCACGGGCTGCAGTGGGACTCGGAGTGGCAGGACCAAACTCCGCAACAAGTCAAAGTCTACCGGAGGAGTGTTCCGTTTATTCCGCAGAAGCCGCTGCTATTCTTGATGCAGCCATCACTCCTGCTGATCAACCGATCCTTGTTCTAACGGATTCACACAGCGTCATCCGGACGCTGGAAGCCGAAGCCCCGAGCCAGCCCTTTTTTTTTATACAGGGGGAATCTGCTCCCAGACTCCTGAGAAGATAATTCAGGGTGTGGGGATGGGAGAAATAGCTCTCCCGACCCACTAAACCTTACCCTGTGCTCTAGGCCCTTGCCCTCCCCGGAACCGCCCGAAAGCATTACGTCATGGGAGGGGGCCGGTTGCGCTATGGCGCATCACTTGGTGTTGTGTCCGACGTGACACTCGCTACTGCACAGTGAGCAGCTGTGCAGGGCCTTCCTCTTGTTGTTCGCTGTTCGTTGTTCGCCCGAGTTCTAGAGCAGACGTGATAGCCAGCCAACTGTCCAACAGGGCAGCTTAGGACAGATGTGACCGCTTACCAGCTGCGTGTGCTAAGCACTCTAAGAACCCGGCGTCACTCCTGTCTTTGCACAACGAGGGTTTGTGCAGGGCTTCTCAACCTCCTCTTGTTGTTCGCTGTTCGTTGTTCGCCTGGGTTCTAGAGCAGACGTGATAGCCAGCCAACTGTCCATCAGGGTAGCTTAGGACAGATGTGACCGCTTACCAGCTGCGTGTGCTAAGCACTCTAAGAACCCGGCGTCACTCCTGCCTTTGCACAACGAGGGTTTGTGCAGGGCTTCTCAACCTCCTGGGACGAGCTGGATGGGGTTCCAGCGTCCCTACTCTGCGGTAGTTCGTTTAGCCGCAATATCTCTCCCTTGGGTTCGATAATTAGCGTTTCCAGGGCACACCACGAGGAGGCGAACTACTTCATGCCCCAACCCCTGGATACAAGCCATTACACGATATGCCCCAACCGTTTTTACGTGGATTCCCGGGCACTGCGGTGTTCCTGGAAATGAGGCTGCAGACAGGCTGGCGGGATCCGGTCCATCTGGTCCCCGCTTCACCAGGAACGTACCACTCCTAGACGTCAAGCGTTGGATCGCGAATATTATCATGGAAGCCTGGCAGGAGGAATGGTTTCAGTCGCGGACCACTTTTCTGAGAAAGATCAAAGAAACCGTACGACCCTGGCTAGACAGCCTCAAGTACAAGGACCAACGGATCATTTCAAGACTCCGGACCGGCCATGCGAGGATTTCCCACAATTTTGGTGGGACACCCTTCCACAAGGTTTGTCCAATCTGACTCCCAGAGAACATCAGTGAGCTACTTGGCAACGACCCCTCAACGCTGTCTGCGCTGATTGCTTTCTTGAAGGACGCCCACCTGTACAACCAAATCTAGCACTTTCGTCGTTGGCTGCGCTGTCCGTGTTCTTCCACCTTCCTATTTTCCTGCCGTCGGGGTATCTCTGCCGGACTGGGGCACTGTCTCTTACGGTGGAGCTCTACCTTGTTCGCGCATCCATTCCTCACCACAGTCCCGATGTAACTCCCATTTTACATTAAGTTTTTTTTTTTAATGTTGTCTCAGAGCCAGTTTTACGTTACGTTAATGTTAGACTGAAACGTTTCCTTAGAGGCAGGCCCTAAGCCTGACCTTCTACTATCAAATGTGATGAACTAGCCTACGGCTAAAAATCACAAAAAAATTAAGAAAAAAAAACCAATGTGGTGAAGTATCACATCCCTGTCGGAACGCGTGCTACCGATGGTCGAGCAGGCTGTTGGCCTCCAAAAAGGATTTCAGCCTATGGTTGACCATCCGCTCAAACACCTTGCTCATGCAGGGCAATTGGTCGGAATTTGGAAACATTCTTCGTGACTTCCCTCCAAGAAGCTGGGTAGAAGTCAGTGGTCCATAGCTTGTTTAAAAGGTCAAGCATACGGACTTGGCCTTCGATCGGTAGATGGGTTAGTAGAGGGCACCTTGCTCCTGCTTAGGGCATATTGCAGCTCTTCCCACGAGAAGTTCCCATTGACCGTTAGGTTGTTGTTACCGGCCGGAACGGAGAAGCTAATGATAGAAGCCGACGTGGCGTTATTGTGGTGCCGGAATTTTTCGTTGCAACCGGAGATAGCAGAAAGCTGTGCGAAATACTTCCCCAATTCGTCAGCGACGGCTATTGACTCGGAAAAGGTGCTGTTTCCGGATTGAACTTGCAGCGGGGCCGAACGTCTTTTCCCGCTCAGGGAATTTACCCGATTCCACAGGTCCGCCGAGGATTGAGAAGCGTCGATGCCACCGAGGAAGCTTGTCCAGCTGTCCTGCTTCGCGTTCCGGATGGTTTTCCGGCATAGGAGGTATAGTTCGCAGTATCGTGCGAGGATGCTGTCTCTGCTGGGATGATCTAGGCTCGTTCTTCTTAACTTGCGGAGGGCTTTCCGTCGGGCTTTAACTGCTGCCTTAGTGTCTTTCGACCGCCATCGAAGTGCTCTCCGTCCCGGGATGCTGCTGGTCTTCGGGATTGCTGCAACGGCTGCTTCGTGGATTACCTTAGAGAGGTCAGGTATGTTGCCAGGATCCTGCTTTTCAATACCGGTTATAATTTCGTTTCGGTAAACCTCCCATTCAGCACTCTCGTACCTCCAGCGTGGCCTACGGGTGGTTTCTGGAGCGACTGCGGCGTACAGCTAAATCTGAATAGGGTAGTGGTGGCTTCTTCTACTATGATCCTCGGTTCCGGTAGCTTATCGATTGCACTTTTAACGTAGGGCTACGTCTGTGATTTTTATAAAAATTATGAAAGATTTTGAACGCTAATAACTCAGCTGCCCCTTGACCAATTTCAATAATTTTATCACCAACCGATCAGATATATTTCTGATTTCGCATCTGTTAAATTTAAGACTTAAATTTTTCCAAAATGACACTCTTGAAAATTGCAACTGTCAACTGTTGCTTTGAGCACCGATTGCCTGTGAAAAGCGATTTGCCTAACACAGATTTCAAAGTTGAATTCGAACCGGTCTCTCCGAATGGTGTTTATTCAATCACGGCGTGGTGTGTGGTGGTGTTCTCCAATACATAACGGAAGGCTGTCTGGAAGCAGCGAGCCCACATGAGCATCCAAAAAAAGAAGGAAGAAACCGCACCGCCATTGATCGGAATCAGTTGCTGTGGTGTTTTTTTTTTTATCTTTATGTTTGAGATTTTTAGCCTTAGGCTAGTTTATTTCTTTGGTCAGAAGGTGAGGCCTCAGAACGAGAACCTCCTACAGAGTGGTTTGACAAAGTGATCTTAACATTACACTTACAACGTTTCCTTACTGACTATACCTGGGATGGACACCATCGTGAGGGCCGAACGACTCATCCCATGTGGTGCCCCTCCGGCTACTTAAGCTGTGGGGTAACAGCTTTCCTTTTTTTTTTTTTTAATCTTTATTTTAGAGATTTTTAGCCTGAGGCTAGTTCATCTCTTTAGTCATGGGTGAGGCCTCAGAAGGAGAACCTCCTACGGAGTTGTTTGACAGAGTTTTAGCATAACAATTTGATCGTTTTCCTTAATGACTATCTAGGGTGACCACCATCATGAGGGTCAAAGACTCATCCCATGTGGTGTCCCTCCTGCTACTGAAAACTGTAAAATACAGCTTTCCTGGCTCTTCGCGAGAAAACAAGTTAAAACACATGGAACGATGACCTGAACGAGACGACACCGTGACGAGGTCCAAAGGCTCATCCCGTCCGGTGCCGTCCCGACAGCTAGCAGAAAACAAAAGAACAAAAAGCTGATACTAGCAACTGACTACAAAAACGGACTAAATTTGATGATACAAATTCGCCTCCCTCAGGAATACCAGGAGGGCGTCGGCAGCAGGCGAGTCCTCTCCGAGCAGGTTCCGGATGCTGGAGGTAATCCCGTAAGTCTCCCGGAGGTCCTGGAATTCCGGGCAGACACACAGTAGGTGTTCGACGGTTGCCGGAACGTGGCAGATAGTGCAGCTCCTGCGGAAGGGTCCTCCGCCGAAGTTGAGATATAGACGGCAGTGTCCAGTCCTCAGCCTCGAGAGTATCCTCTGGTCCGGTAGGTTTCGGAGGTCCGTCCATGCCTCCGTGGTTCCCTTGATTTTCCGGATGAAAGGCCCTCGAGTGCTGGCCCATTGGTCGGTCCATGCCTTCCGAACGGTGGCCTTAATCCACCGTCTGACGTCCTGGAGGGGAACTTTGTCGGTGAATCTGGGACCCGACGGTCCAGTTCCAGCGAGTTGGTCGGCTGCCTCGTTTCCGGGAATTCCGCAGTGGCCGGGTATCCACGCAAAAACGGTATTACTGGGTGCGTACTTGACAGTAGCCTGAATCCACGGGTGGGTGGGAGTTGCCGAGCAGAGCTCCTGGATAGCGCTGTACGAATCTGTTAAAATAAGAATTGGTTGATTAGCTGGTGAAGTGGCCGCGTGGAAGATCGCGGCCGCTTCTGCCGAGTAAACGGAGCACTGCGGTGGTAGGCTGTTGCTGACGAGTATGCCACTTCCGGATACTCCGATGCCAACGCCCGTGTTGGATCGGGAACCATCGGTGTACCGGTGGGTGAAATCGGTAAACTTGGACCTGAGAAGCTCAGCTACTGTGCAACGTAGGGCTACAGAGTTGTCTCCTGCTTTGAATCGATTCTTGATCGCGTTTTCGATTATGAGTTTGGAAGAGAGCCAACTCTTCTCTCCGTGCCAGTGGATCCTAGCCACCGGGGGGAGGTCGATGCTGGCGATCGATTGCATGATTCTATCCCCCTCGTCGAGGAGGAAGACTCTGCCATTCCCTGCTGTTTTGGCGGCGAAGGATGCAGCTTTGTACAGTGTGGCGTTTATGATGCGGTACCGAAAGGGTAGAACCCCTGCTTCAACACACGCAGAATCTGCGGGGGTGGAAGGTAGGAGACCGGAAATGATCCGGATACAACTGTTGAAAGTCGGGCCAAGAATTTCCTCCTGCTTCTCCGATGCGATGCACGTAAGTTCGGTTCCGTACAGCAGCCGGCTGTCGATGATGGCTTGCGAGACACGGAAGCGAACTGCCCGGTTGTTGGATCGGTGTGGCCTGGAAATGGTCCTGACCAGATTGACCCTGCTTCTACAATCCTTCTTTACCTGGTTGAAGTGGGGCACGAAAGACAACGTGCGGTCCACCAGAACACCCAGAATCCGAACGGAGTTCCTAACGGGGATAGCTTGATCGGCGATCTTGATGGCGGCCCCGCTTACCCTGTGTCGGGACGGGCAGACGTGGCATCTAACACTTTTCCTGGCCGAGAGCTGGAAACCAGCTGTTTCGGCCCATTTCACGACGGCTGTGACGGCAGCTTGCGCTATGTTCCTGGTGCGGATTGTGGTGGGCCCGGTTACCACGATGAGTACGTCATCGGCATACACAAAGATGTGCACGTTCTTGGGTAGCCGGTTAAAGACACCGTTCATCGCAATTAAGAAAAGCGTGACAGAGATCACGGATCCCTGGGGGACCCCCGTTTCTTCCCGAAAGCTGCTGGATTTGGCGTTACCGATGGCGACGCGAAAGGAGCGGTCGGTGAGGAAATTCCGAACGAAGTGGACCATGTGTCCCTTAAGTCCCCAACGGACGAGTTGGGCAAGTACGGCCGGAGTCCAGGTTCGGTTGAAAGCCTTGGAGATGTCAAGCGAAACGATTTCGGTGTGGTGTCCCTGGTCGAAGGCATCTTTCAGCACGTCTCCCAGTGTGGCAAAATAGGTAGAGGTGCCGCATCCTTGACGGAAGGCGTGTTGCCGGTGATCGAGCAAGCTATTCGTCTCCAGAAAGGTCTTCAATCTCCGGTTCACCATCCGCTCGAACACCTTGCTCATGCAGGAGGTGAGGGCAATGGGCCGGAACTTCGTCGCATCTTTCGTTGTTTCGTTAGTCTTCGGGATCGGAATGACCAGACACGATGCTGGATAGGAGTCGGTGGTCGAAAGTTCGTTGAAGAGCTCAAGCATACGGACTTGGCCTTCGATCGGTAGGTGTGTTAACAGCTTTCCTGGCTCTTCGTTAAAACAGAACAAGTTAAAAACAAGCAACAATAATCTGAACGAGACGCCACCGTGACGAGGTCCAAAGGCTCATCCCGTGCGGTGCCATACCGACAGCCGAAAGAAAAAAATAACATTCAAACGAAGCTAAAAAACATAATCAGACTAGATATCGTGGTACAAGTTAGCCTCCCTAAGAAAGACTAGGAGGGCGTCGGCAGCAGGCGAGTCTTCTCCGAGCAGGTTCCGGATGCTGGAGGTGATTCCGTAAGTCTCCCGGAGATCCTGGAATTCGGGGCAAACCACAGAGGACGTGTTCGACGGTCGCGGGAACGTGGCAGATTACGCAGCTCCTGCGGAAGGGTCCTCCACCAAAGTTGTAGTACAACCGGCAGTGTTCAGTCCTCAGCCTCGAAAGCACTCTGATCCGGTAGGTTTCGGAGGTCCGTCCATGCCTCCGTGGTTCCCTTAATCTTCCGGATGAAAGGCTCTCGGGTGCTGAACCACTGGTCGGTTCAAGCCTTTTGCACGGTTGCCTTTATCCATCGTCGGACATCTTGGAGTGGAACTTTATGGCAGCCCTAAGTTTGCACCTTTAGAATTGATAAAACGATCCATAAAATATTGAAAAACGTTCCATTAAAAACATCCAAATGATCCATAAAACATCGGAGAAAATCCCTAAAAAAGTGTGGATGATCCATAAAAAATATCAATATTATCAATATTTTATGTGAAATTTAGCAACACAATTGTAAAAATGGACCGCTAAATTTCTAAATAATGAGCATTGGAATTGTACGAATTACCCATAAACATATTGCAATTGATCCATAAAACATTCAGCAATGAACCTTAAACTAAAGAAAGTGATCCATAAAAAATCATGTTTGCACATTTAAAAATAAAGGCATGATCCATAAATTATACGTAGGGGAAAAGTTGGCTTCGGCAATACCTTAACCTATTATCGTCAGGGGGTAAACAACGTCCTTGAGAGCTCAATTTTGACATGTGGATACATTGTGTTTCTGAGCAACTATTGGCCAAATTTGAGTGCTCTAGGACTTTGTCTACCCCCTGACGATAATAGGTTAAGGTATTGCCGAAGCCAACTTTTCCCCTATATTATTCATGTTAAGGACACTATTTTTTTTTTTTAATTTTGATCCATAAACCTTGAAAAATTGCTCCATTGCATCTGTTTAGATTTACTGTCCTGCCCGTGTATTTTAGGTAGAGGTGCGAAGCGACCGGCAAGCGTCTAGAATTAGCTTTCAAAAGAAAATTCTTATTCTTTATTTAGATTATTCTTAAGAAGCATCCTATGGAAGAAGCTTCCATTTTGAAACTTCTTTAAGAAGCTTATTCTAGACGCTCGCCCATCGTTCCGCTCTTCTGACAAACAAAAAACACGGCAGAACAGTAAACCTGAGTAGAAAAACATAAGTATATTCCATAGACTATAATTGGAACACACTATATAAAGAACGTCTACCAATAACTGGAACACCTACCCTAGGTATGATCCATAAAATTAACATTTATTTTTCTTTTGGAAGCTAATTCTAGACGTTTGACCATCGCTCCGCACCTCTACCTAAAAAAACTAGTGTTCAAAACGTGATAGTATGTGAACGTATAGTTTATGGATCATGGCTGTTCGGAATATCGGGATAACTCTGTACCGCCAAGCCCAGCGACAACCCTGTGGGAGATTCGGAGAGCTACGGTAACGGTCGCTGTCAGAAATGACAGACGTTAGGTTTGGTTCAATGGAACTGTGAACTCACAGTTCCGTGAACCAAACCTTAGATAGGTCGGAGTATGAACGAGAAAAAAAGAGAAAAAGAAGGTACAATTCCAAACCATCTAAAAAACGTTTTACAGCTTAATTAAGTTAATTGCCTAAATTTGTTAATATTCCTATCGTTTAATTAAGTTGTAGTGATTTGTAGTGAACTAGCTACTGAAGTAGGTTAGTTGGAGGTGGAATTCGTGCAAATATTGAATTTAATAACCCTATATTTGCTTAATCTAGATACTACAATTTGATCCTAAAATCTGGTAACATACAATTTGTTCCTAAACGCTATATACTTGATTTACCCTAAGTAACTAGTAAGTAGCTCATTCTACATCGTTTGTGTGCTTAACTAAAATAATAATTGAATCCCTAAATCCTAACTCTACCCAATCTTTGTTGAAAGAGTGACGGAAGATAACTCTTGGTTTGAAAATCTCCCGCTCAGCCTCCTACCGCTTTTCATGGAGGAATTTTTCTTCCTCCAGCGCTTTCTTATTTGCGCTTTTCTCCTGGTCTAGGGATTCCTCCAGGCCGACCCCATTGGTACTTCCTTTTCCAGATTCGGTTCCGGCATCACTCCTCGCACTATTCTTTCTGCTAGGTGGTTTCTTTGGGACAGACTTCTTGGTTCCTTTTGGCACCTTCAGCATATTTGTGCACTTCGAGCACGTCTACGGAACCTCCTTTACAGCTGTTGTCTTACCAGCACAACTATAATGGGTCCAGAAATCGCAGACATCACACTGGACCATATCATCTACGTGGTCATGGCCGTCACAAAGCGTACAGTTTCGATCGCTGTTCTGTTTTTCACTCAACGGTGGTGTTGATCCCTCTGACATGTTGAGGTTAGATCCGATGTTCTTCTTCAAAAATGTTCGGATTAATGAAAGCAACTTCCTCAGAGCAGTCTCGTTTTGGACAGTTTTAAGCTGAAATAGGTTTTATTATAAGCATTAAGATTGGTTTCGACTTTATATTAGTTTAATAAAACTTCTTTCAGCTTCAAGCTGTCCAAAACGAGACTGCTCTGAGGAAGTTGCTTTCAATAATCCGAACATGGCTATATTTTTACTTGATTTTCTATGGATCACTTTCTTAAGCTTAAGGCTCACTGCTGAATGTGTTATGCATGAATTGCAATATGTTTATGGGTAATTCGTACAATTTCAATGCTCATTCCTTAGAAATTTAGCGGTACATTTTAACAATTGTGTTGCTAAATTTTACATAAAATATGGATCATATTGATATTTTTTATGGATCATTCACACTTTTTTAAGGATTTTCTCCGATGTTTTATGGATCATTTGAATGTTTTTTATGGAACTTTTTCCAATATTTTATGGATCTTTTATTGGTTTTTATATTCAAAAGTATGTTTGCCGAACTTTATCCGTGAATCTGGGACCCGACGGTCCAGTTCCAGCGAGTTGTTCGGCTGCCTCGTTTCCGGGTATTCCGCAGTGACCCGGGCGTACTTTATGGTAGCCTGAATCCACGGGTGGGTGGGAGTTGCTGAGCATAGTTCCTGAATAGCGCTGCAGGAATCTGTCAAAATAATCTTCCCCCAGTCCTATAATGATGGGATAGTGGTCGCTTCCCGCTGGGTTATCCAGGGTCTTCCAAAGGAACCTCCCTACAGTGGCTGCGCTGGCCGCGGAGATGTCGATTGCGGTTTCTACTTGGCCGCGGATGAATGTATTGGAACCGTCGTTCAAAATCGAGAGGTCAAGATTTTCCAACATGTTGGTGATCGAGGCCCTCCGGGGGTTCGCTCTGGGACTTCCCCAGGCAGGGTGGTGCCCGTTGATGTCCCCGAGAAACAGGATAGGGCCCGAGATCGAAGCCAGTTCACGCTCCAGGTTGGAGCCGATGTTCGCAATTTGCCCGTGTGACAGGTAAATACAAATGATTGAAATAGGGAATGGGTATTCAGTACTTACCCCGACAATCGGGAGGTCCAGGTTGAAATGTATTGGTGCAAATGGTAGTTCTACCGCGATCCCGATGCCTACGGACTGGTAAATGTTGGAAGGGGTTAGTTTTGGTAACCCAGCGATATTTTCCTCCGAGGGTTCGATTCAGCTGGTCGGAACTGATCCGGTGGATTTCCTGCAGTGCGATGATACTTGGGGAAAGGTCGCGTATGAGGGTTTCCAGGTCCCCTAGGTTGTTGTTAATTAATTAATTAATTAATTAATCTTTATTAGGGAGGCTTTCAGCCTGGGGCTGGTTCGCCTCCAAACCCGGAAGCCCCTGAAGGGGGCTTCCCAAATAACAGAGTTGTGTATGGGCCCTAATAATAATCCCAGACGGGATTTTCGAGACTAGTAAGGGCAATCTCCAGAAGGGAGTTGCTAGAACAAAGAAAATTACTTATTTTAAATTAAGCTGGCGCTAGCTCTAAACTAATATAAAAAAGGCTGTCTTATGGCTGTCGCTCTCGCCGGGCGTGGTTTTAGGTACGGTGGTCGATTGGAGGGTCATGTTTCGTATACGTGGTCGGTTTTCAGGTGTAAATGTGTTTGCTGGTCGTGGTGTAGTTAGAATATCCATTTGGTTTTCCTCGGTCGTGGCGGTGTTCGGTCATCGGTGTCTCGTGGTTGTGTTTGGGCATCGGAAAAAGTCAAAACAACATTATCAGAGGATGGCGGGTTTCTTATATAAGGGGGGGGGGGGTGATTCACCAGACTGCAGGTGTTGCTCAGTATCCCCTATTGGCGATACTGATTTAGTGTCGGTGTTCGGTTTTCTAAGCGGCATGGGGGAACTGCGAGTCGGCGGTGGTGGTCTGCGGAGTTTGCCAACGAGTGCCAGGGGGAGTTCCCCAGGTCCGCTTGGACTTGACGTCCGAACTGGGGGTCTCGGCTACCCGAGGCCTTATCCGGGCTTCCACTTTCCGGCGGGGGGATTGTGAGGTTATCACACGACCCCGGTCTGATTACTAGTTCCTGGTTATTTCCTGATGTTGATTGGCGTTCCTTTGTTGGCTTGTTTCGTAGGAGGTTGCCAACGAGCTCCAGGGGGTTGCCCCCAGATTCGGACTACCGAGGTTGCCCGAAATGGAGGGGCCCCAGATGCCCGTTCCTGGTTATTTCCTGATGTTGATTGGCGTTCCTTTGTTGGCTTGTTTCGTAGGAGGTTGCCAACGAGCTCC